AGCAGGGTCACCCAGAGCAGGCTGCACAGGACCGCGTCCAGGTGGGGCTTGAATATCTCCAAAGAAGGAGACTCCACAACCTCCCTGGGCAGCCTGGGCCAGGGCTCCATCACCCTCAGAGGGAAGAAGTTCTTCCTCATGTTCAGCTGGAACTTCCTCTGCTTCAGTTTGTGCCCGTTGCCCCTTGTCCTGTCGCTGGGCACCACTGAGAAGAGTCTGGCCCCGTCCTCCTGACACCCACCCTGCAGATATTTAGAGGCATTTATGAGGTCCCCTCTCAGCCTTCTCTTCTTCAGGCTGAACAAGCCCAGCTCCCTCAGCCTCTCCTCGTAGGAGAGATGCTCCAGTCCCCTCATCATCCTCATCATACAAAGTAAAATCAAGCCTTTAGACATACTATAATTTATTCAAACAGTGAAATACAGAGTCAGGAACACATCGAGAACTTAAAAAGGGTAGGAATGAACCATGGCATTATATAAATATTCAAGCATTTAACTCATGAAAGCCACCTCCACCTGCTTTGTAGCATCACTAAAAATACTAAGCTATAGTCAAGGATTCAATCTGAATTAAACACAGCGACATTGCTCATGCCCAGATTAGAAAGTGAGAACAGGAGTTTATCACACCAACAAACCATTCCATACATTTTTTTGTGCTACTCAGAATAACTTCTAGGAAATAATACTTTGCCAAGTAAATGCTCCTTGCAGGTATGCTCACATTCTTAAAACCTGTAGTGAAAAATTCATCATACTCCCACCCTGAATGTCAGAAACTTTTACCCTCAATGACCCACGATAAATATAGCACATTTCACTGAAGTCATTGGAGCCACTGGTTTCATGCCAGCCTACCCACAACAGCAAGATTTATTCCTAATTTTCAAAAAAGGCTTTCGTCAACAGGAAGCTTTTATCTCCAGTCTTCTGCTACCTTAAAGCACCTGGACCGCTGGCTCCCTTCAGGGCTGTGCTAACCATGCGTCTGGTCTCAACATCTCCGTCTCCTCTTCCAAATGCTTTCTGTTGGTGTAGCTGCAAAGACTTCAAGGCCAGCTAACTGCTTGCCTAATCTAAATTTGCATGTACAAAGGATTTTTGAAGAAGGCTTTGAACACGTAGCCTGGAATTTCGTAATAAAGCTCTCATTATTATTGTTCAGGCTCACCAGCAAACAGCTGGAGACATTTGCTCTCGTTGCAGTGTCACTTTTAAGTAACGGAATTTTTAAAGCATGGTACCTGCATATGACTGACAGAGCAAGAGGCTCATCCAGCGTTACAACCCTTCCAGCCCCCACAAAAACCACCCCTCAGGATCATATGCTAAATAGAAAGGATTTAGAATCTCTCCCCCACTATGCTTCAGTGGGAAAAGGGCAAAAGCCATCACACCTGGCTTCCTCCTGGGTCCCCAGCACTTTACCTTGCCTTCACCCGCTCTCCTACGTATCCCAGGCCGTGACTGCTCAGGAGCTGCGTACCCTGGCCGATGGGACACTGTCACTGACTCTTCTCCACCCAAATGACTGCAGGGACAAGATAACCCTCCTGCCTCTCCAGGAAACAGGACACTTCCTCATGTCTCGCTTTTATAAATCCAATCGTTTTCACAAGCCAAGAATCTGTAGAAATTTAAGATCTCTTACATCTCTACACCTCTTGCCTAATTTGCCTTAAGTGAACATGACAGTTACTGGAACAGAGGAAAACTTGACAGCATAATCATCTAAGTTTCATTTACATAGCAAACCTGTTTATTTCTGTTACATCTGACTTGGAATGTAACTTGTTACTGCTTGGGAACTACATGACCTGTTCTAAAGCCAGTCAGAAACAGACTGAAGCTTTCTTTTCTTTTTTTAAACTGGAAAATTCTACACACCTAGGTTTCAGGCCTCAGGAGCTGTCTGCCAGTTACTCAGACAGAAAACACACTCCGCAAAAACCTCAGTAAAATCACATTCACACCTCCATGAACCAGAGTTTTTGCCAAGTTAGGGCTTCTTTTTCTATCAAACTCCGAACTGCCCACAGCCTTCCTCGGGCACGTGGCTGCAAGCTCTGCGCTGAAGCCCTCGGAGAATCTCTTCTGCAGCAAAACCTCATCGCTCGTTCCGTTACTTTTTCCACAGCTGTTTCTCAGGTGCGACTGAATCCTAACAACGCCCTCAGAGTTCATGTTTCCTTCAGTAACAGACACTATCATCAAGAGCCGTGAGAGGGCCACGGTTGCTAGTTTTGCTTCCAAATGTTAAAAAAATCCCAAAAAAACAAAAATAGCCCCAGGGCTTAGCCCAATGCAAGTCCACATATATTAAGATCATGTGAAAAGTTGGCGCCGAACGATTGTTTATGAATAAATGTAACCAAGCCCACTCCCAGCCTCAGCCAGCAGGCCGAAGCCTGCCCTCAGGC